TTGGAGACTAGGACGCAATGGAATGGCTTCAAACTACAAGAGAGGAGATTCCATCTGAACATGAGGAAGAACTTCCTGACTGTGAGAGCCGTTCAGCAGTGGAACTCTCTGCCCCGGAGTGTGGTGGAGGCTCCTTCTTTGCAAGCTTTGAAACAGAGGCTGGATGGCCATCTGTCAGGGGTGATTTGAATGCATGATTCCGACTAGTTGGCCCAGGTCCCTTCCAACTCTTTGATTCTATGATTCTATGATTTAAGTGTTGCTAAAGTTCTGATGGTGTAAATTTTAGAACTCTAACAAAGCTTTCAAAATTTCATTATTATTTTGTTATTAATGATTGACAGAACCAATCATAGGTGGCCCTAGGTAATTTTCAATGGTAAGCAAACAGTATTTTGGTGCCCCCTCCAACCAATCACTGATATATATTTTCTATTCTTTGTGGGAGTTCTGTGTGCCATATCTGGTTCAATTCCATCATTGGTGGAGTTCAGAATGCTCTTTGATTGTAGGTGAACTATACATCCCAGTAACTACAACTCGCATATGTCAAGGTCTATTTTCCCCCCAAGAGCACCTCAAGAGCGCCCCTGGGCAAAATCAACTATACTGCAAATGCTTACTTTGCGTAATGGGTTGAGCCGCCCCTGGAACAGCCCAATAGCAATGCTAGTAATAATTAAATTTTGAAAGTTTTGTTAGAGTTCTGAAATTTTCACCACCAGAACTTTAGCAACACTTTAGAAGCAAAGCACCAGTACCCCTTAGTTTTGTAAGTACTTTAGAACTATTTAGAACCATGTCTAGTAAGTATATTTTCTGGCCTACAACTCCCAGAAATCCTAACAGCTGGTAAACTAGCTGGATTTCTGGGAGTTGTAGGCCAAAAACATCTGGGGACCCCAGGTTGAGAACCACTGATTTAGAACCATGGATTGCCCATGCCTAATTCCTTTATCTTGTACCTGACACATCCTAGCAAGGTCAAAACATATACGGATAGCAGAGCTTTTACTTACTCCGCGGTCAAACCATTGCTACAGGACAGACTCCTACTTCTCTGGGCCCTTTAAGAGGCAACTCCCCACATTATTGGGGCAAAATGATCCTGAATCCTACCTGGACTCCTACAAAAGTAAAGTCTTTCAACTTGCCCACCCCATTTTTAAGTGTTGTTGTTCTGTGCTTTCAATGTGATTACATCTCATAAGTGGAAAGATTTGTTCAGATGCATTTTGCCTTTTCCTCTGAGGCTGAGATATTGTGACTTGGACCAAGTCACCCAGTGGTTTGTATAACCTATATGTTTATTATTTTTTTAGCAATATAAGTTTTAATACACTATTTATGAAGACAATAATTTCCCCCATATGGCTTACATCGCTATATACAGGCAGCCCCCAAGTTACGAACAAGAGAGATTCTTACGTTGAATGTGTATTTACATCGGAACAGGTACATTTTTAAGTGTCACTCCAGCTGTATTTATCTTTTCATCTATCTATCTCACCCTTTGTGGTGTTTGTTTTGATGCCTGTGCCCCTGTTTAGAAGTTTTCATCTTACTTTCTGGAGCAGCGGTGATGCAATGGGTTAAACCCTTGTGCTGGCTGAACTGCTGAACTGAAGGTCGGTGGTTCGAATCCGCCGACATTCAGTTCAGCAGGCACAAGGGTTTAACCAGAGATGAGGTGAGCTCCCATCTGTCAGCTCCAGCTTCCCATTCCCATGCAGGGACATGAGAGAAGCCTCCCTCAGGATGGTAACACATCCAGGCATCCCCTCGGCAACGTCTCTGCAGACGGCTAATTCTCTCACACCAGAAGCGACTTGCAGATTCTCAAGTCACTTCTGACACTATCTATCTATCTATCTATCTACACACACACACACACTTCGCTTTCTCTCCCTGTGAGAATTGGATTTTGAAAAATCTGGCTTGGAAACAAGGATTGGAGAGAAAGCTTCAGTGGAGTCTCTGTTCCCCATGATACCTCTTTCAAGAGTGAATTTCCCTTCCGAAGGGTAGATTTCCCTGTTGTCTCACCCCTTTCTTAATTATGAGTTGTTTGTAAGTCGGATGTTTGTAACTCGGGGACTGCCTGTATAGTTTCCCTTACTCGTTCCACTGAAAAACAACAATCAAAATAATAATAATAATTTTAAAAAATTAAATGGAACCCTTACCTTAAAGTCATAGAAATTTCTACCAATTCACTTATGTTCATCCAGTGGTTTCGATGGATGAGCAGGCACTCAAACCTCATTCTCTCCAGAGTCCTAGTCCAAACTATCTCTCCAGCCTTTAAATGATAGCCCGAAAACAAACCCCATCTGACTCACCAGTTGAGAAAGTGTTCCTAATTTCCCTCCTATCCAGAATAAGGTGTTCCGAGAGCAAGGACTAACAATTACCCAGCATAGTGTTTAAGTGAAGACTTATTTGTGTAGCTCTCTATCTTCCTTCTCTGATGTGGGAGCAGGGTTCATAAAAAAAACTAACCTCCCAAGATCCTTTCCCTCCCCCACACTCCGGGGCAGAGAGTTCCACTGCTGAACGGCTCTCACAGTCAGGAAGTTCTTCCTCATGTTCAGATGGAATCTCCTCTCTAGTAGTTTGAAGCCATTGTTCCGCATCCTAGTCTCCAGGGAAGCAGAAAACAAGCTTGCTCCCTCCTCCCTGTGGCTTCCTCTCACATATTTATACATGGCTATCGTGTCTCCTCTCAGCCTTCTCTTCTTCAGGCTAAACATGCCCAGCTCCTTAAGCCGCTCCTCATAGGGCTTGTTCTCCAGACCCTTGATCATTTTAGTCTCCCTCCTCTGGACACATTCCAGCTTGTCAATATCTCTCTTCAATTGTGGTGCCCAGAATTGGACACAATATTCCAGGTGTGGTCACAACCTCGTAGGATGCCTGCCATTGATGTGGGTGAAACGTCAGGAGAGATTGCTTCTGGAACATGACAATACAGCCTGGAAAACTCACAGCAGCCCAGTGATTCGGCCATGAAAGCCTTCGACAACACATTTGACAAGGGGCTCAGACAGGAAAGGAAACACCAGAGGGGTGTGAACCCTTCTCTATGCTATGCCTTTGACCTACTACTAGATATGTATTTCCTGTACAAGGAATCCCAAATCAGAGCTGATGGGTCAACTTTCCTGTTGGACTACAAGACCCATCAGTGCAAGACCAGGAAGACCCCTTTGGAGTAGGCCTGAAGCCTACTGGATATTGATTTGCTGGACTACAAGGCCCACCAGGAACCCCAAACCAGAGCTGAAGGGGACACTTTCCTGATGTACTACAAGATCCATCAGTGCAAGACCTCTTTGGAGTAGGTTTGAGGCTTAGTAGATATGGATTTGCTGGACTACAAAGCCCAGGAACACCAAACCAGAGCTGAAGGGGACACTTTCCTGTTGTACTACAATACCCATCAGTGCATGACCTCTTTGGAGTAGGTTTGAGGCCTACTAGATATGGATTTGCTGGACTACAAAGCCCAGGAACCCCAAACCAGAGTTGAAGGGGCCACTTTCCTGTTGGACTACAAGACCCATCAGTCCAAGACTGTGGCCACCAGAACTGAAAGGGCCACGTTCCTGTTGGACTACAAGACCCATCAGTGCAAGACCTCTTTGGAGTAGGCCTGAGGCATACTAGATATGGATTTGCTGGACTACAAAGCCCAGGAACCCCAAACCAGAGCTGAAGGGGCCACTTTCCTGTTGGACTACAAGACCCATCAGTGCAAGACCTCTTTGGAGTAGGTCTGAGGCCTACTAGATATGCATTTCCTGGACTACAAAGCCCAGGAACGCCAAACCAGAGTTGAAGAGGCCTCTTTCCTGTTGTACTTCAACCCATCAGTGCAAGACCTCTTTGGAGTAGGTTTGAGGCCTACTAGATATGGATTTGCTGGACTACAAAGCCCAGGAACCCCAAACCAGAGCTGAAGGGGACACTTTCCTGTTGGACTACAAGACCCATCAGTCCAAGACAGGAAGACGCCTGAGGCCTACTAGATATGGATTTGCTGGACTCAAAGCCCAGGAACCCCAAACCAGAGTTGAAAGGGCCTCTTTCCAGTTGGACTACAAGACCCATCAGTGCAAGACCTCTTTGGAGTAGGCCTGAGGCCTATTAGATATGCATTTCCTGGACTACAAAGCCCAGGATCCACAAACCATTGTTGAAGGGGCCACTTTCCTGTTGGACTACAAGACCCATCAGTCAGAGACTGTGGCCTACTAGATATGGATTTGCTGGACTACAAAGCCCAGGAACCCCAAACCAGAGTTGAAGGGGCCTCTTTCCAGTTGGACTACAAGACCCATCAGTGCAAGACCTCTTTGGAGTAGGTTTGAGGCCTACTAGATATGGATTTGCTGGACTACAAAGCCCAGGAACCCCAAACCAGAGCTGAAGGGGCCTCTTTCCAGTTGGACTACAAGACCCATCAGTGCAAGACCTCTTTGGAGTAGGTTTGAGGCCTACTAGATATGGATTTGCTGGACTACAAAGCCCAGGAACCCCAAACCAGAGCTGAAGGGGCCTCTTTACTGTTGGACTACAAGACCCATCAGTCAAAGAGACTGAGGCCTACTAGATATGGATTTGCTGGACTACAAACCCCAGGAACCCCAAACCAGAGCTGAAGGGTCAACTTTCCAGTTGGACTACAAGACCCATCAGTGCAAGACCTCTTTGGAGTAGGCCTGAGGCCTACTAGATATGCATTGCCTGGACTACAAGGCCCACCAGCCCAACCCAGAAACAGGCTTGTGGCCCTCAAGGGATTTGGTGGACTACAACTCCCACCAGGCCCCAGCTTGGGGGGGGAAATGTAGCCTTTAGTGGGTGCTGGGTGTGGGAATTGTAGTCCCAGTTTCGCCCTGGAAGCCTCTGGGAAGGGGTTCTCTTTCCCGCGGGGGGCGGGGGGGAAGGTAGCCGGAACAGCGCCCCGAGGGCCGCGCATGCGCTGTGTCTCTCACCTGGAAGGGGGCGGCGGGAGGGGTCCCGGGGCCACAACAGCCACTTCTCGGCTCTTCTCTCAAAACTTTTTTCCTCCTCCCTGCGTAGCCCCGCCCTGTCCGCGAAAAAAAAAAAAGCAACGCGGGCGGGCGCTGGTTGGCGGAAGTGAGTCGGGCGGGCGGGCGGAAAGCAAAACAGGGAGGAAAAAGGAAGCAAGCGCCCGTCCGGCCACAAGGGGCGCCATCGCCTCCTCCTCGCTCTTTCTGTGCTGTTCGGAACCAAAGGCGGCGGGCGACGAGAACCATAAAAAAAACAACAACCACAAGGATTATTTAAAGGGACAGAGTCCGCTCAGTGGGGAACTCCATGGCTATGTTGTGACAACGTGGGAAAGCGACTACACCGATTCAAGGGCCTCTCTCTCTCCCTTTGTAACTCATCTCTCGGAGGAAAACGTGCCCCAGATGTGTACCAACAACCTCAACGTTGAGTCAAGAGGGCAAATGGTTCAAACTGCAGGAAAGGAAGTGCCACATGGACATTGGGAAGAGATTCCTGACCTTCAAACTGCAGGAAAGGACATTGGGAAGAACTTCCTGAGCCTAAGTGCTGTTCAACAGTGGAACTCTCTGCTTTGGTGGCTTTAGAACAGAAGCTGGATGGCCATCTGTTGGGAATGCCTTGACGGTGTATTTTTCCCCTAACCTTCAAACTGCAGGAAAGAAATGTCACCTGTTCAGCAGTGGAACTCTTACTGAAGAACTTACTGAGCCTAAGAGCTGTTCAATAGTGGAACACTCTGCTTTGGAGGCTTTAGAATAGAAACTGGGTGGCCATCTGTCAGGAATGCTTTGATGGTGTATTTTCCCCCTGACCTTCAAACTGCAGGAAAGGACATTGGGAGGAACTTCCTGATCCTAAGTGCTGTTCAACAGTGGAACTCTCTGCTTTGGAGGCTTTAGAACAGAAACTGGGTGGCCACCTGTCAGGAATGCTTTGATGGTGTATTTTCCCCCTGACCTTCAAACTGCAGGAAAGAACATTGGGAAGAACTTCCTGATCCTAAGAGCTGTTCAACAGTGGAACTCTCTGCTTTGGTGGCTTTAGAATAGAAACTGGGTGGCCATCTGTCAGGAATGCTTTGATGGTGTATTTCCCCCTAACCTTCAAACTGCAGGAAAAGAAATGTCACATGTTCAACAGTGGAACTCTCTGCTTTGGAGGCATTAGAACAGAAACTGGGTGGCCATCTGTCAGGAATGCTTTGATGGTGTATTTTTCCCCTGACCTTCAAACTGCAAGAAAGGACATTGGGAAGAACTTCCTGATCCTAAGAGCTGTTCAACAGTGGAACTCTCTGCTTTGGTGGCTTTAGAATAGAAACTGGGTGGCTATCTGTCAGGAATGCTTTGATGGTGTATTTTCCCCCTGACCTTCAAACTGCAGGAAAGGATGTGTCACATGGAAATTGGGAAGAACTTCCAGATCCTAAGAGCTGTTCAACAGTGGAACTCTCTCCTTTGGAGGCATTAGAACAGAAGCTTTGATGGTGTATTTTCCTCCTAACCTTCAAACTGCAGGAAAAGAAATGTCACATGTTCAACAGTGGAGCTCTCTGCTTTCGTGCCTTTAGAACAGAAGCTGGATGGCCATCTGTCGGGAATGCTTTGATGGTGTATTTTCCCCCTGACCTTCAAATTGCAGGAAAGTAAATGTCACATGGACATTGGGAAGAACTTACTGAGCCTAAGAGCTGTTCAATAGTGGAACACTCTGCTTTGGTGGCTTTAGAACAGAAACTGGGTGGCCATCTGTCAGGAATGCTTTGATGGTGTATTTTCCCCCTGACCTTCAAACTGCAGGAAAGGACATTGGGAAGAACTTCCTGATCCTAAGAGCTGTTCAACAGTGGAACTCTCTGCTTTGGAGGCTTTATTATTATTATTATTATTATTTATTAACTTTATTTATACCCCGCTAACATCTTTCGAAGGACTCGGTGCGGCTTACAAAAGGCCAAGGCCCTTTAGAACAGAAGCTGGATGGCCATCTGTTGGGAATGCTTTGATGGTGTATTTTTCCCCTAACCTTCAAACTGCAGGAAAGGAAATGTCACATGGATATTGGGAAGAAATTCCTGATCCTAAGAGCTGTTCAACAGTGGAACTCTCTGCTTTGGAGGCATTAGAACAGAAGCTGGGTGGCCATCTGTCGGGAATGCTTTGACGGTGTATTTCCCCCTAACCTTCAAACTGCAGGAAAGGAAATGTCACATGGACATTGGGAAGAACTTACTGAGCCTAAGAGCTGTTCAACAGTGGAACTCTCTGCTTTGGTGGCTTTAGAACAGAAGCTGGGTGGCCATCTGTCGGTAATGCTTTAATGGTGTATTTTCCCCCTGACCTTCAAACTGCAGGAAAGAAAATGTCACATGTTCAACAGTGGAACTCTTTGCTTTGGAGGCTTTAGAACAGAAGTTGGGTGGCCATCTGTTGGGAATGCTTTGATGGTGTATTTTTCCCCTGACCTTCAAACTGCAGGAAAGAAAATGTCACATGTTCAACAGTGGAACTCTCTGCTTTGGTGGCTTTACAACACAAGCTGGATGGCCATCTGTCAGGAATGCTTTGATGGTGTATTTTCCCCCTAACCTTCAAATTGCAGGAAAGGAAATGTCACATGGACATTGGGAAGAACTTCCTGATCCTAAATGCTGTTCAACAGTGAAACTCTCTGCTTTGGAGGCATTAGAACAGAAGCTGGATGGCCATCTGTCAGGAATGCTTTGATGGTGTATTTTTCCCCTGAGAAGGGCGACCAGAGCGTCCTCATCATGGACGTTGTCATGGCCATCTTTGAATTGTCGTACCCACTTACGCACTTTGCTTTCACTCATAACAGTATCACCGTACACTTCACAAATCTGTCGATGAATTTCTGCAGCAGGCAGGTTCCTTGCTGACAAAAACCGTATCACTGAGCGAACCTCACATGCGGCGGGTGAGTTGATAGTCTTAAACATTTTTAAAGCACAGAACAGAACCGTACAGGTGAGCTACAGAGCGGAAACTGAGCACAGTTGTTCCCGAGGCATGCCGGTACACGACGCACGCGCTCGTTGCGGTATGCGCGCGAACTACTAGTGTCTACAACAAAACGGACCTTACTTAAAAAATACCCCTCATACATTGTAATCCGCCCCGAGTCCCCTGCGGGGTGAGAAGGGTGGAATATAAATACTGTAAACAGATACATTAATAAATAATTGCATACTGAAACTGAATTTGATATGCAAAACATTTGGAGGACTAAAGTTTGAGAATCACCCACCACCTTACCTTTTTTAAAAAAAACAAAACAGTAATTTCACTGAAAATGGACTGTGAGAAGGGCGGAATATAAATACTGTAAATAAAATAAATAAATAAGGCATGGACATCTCTAGCCCATCCTCTGTTCAGATATCAGCCAGCATGCCAACATCTTAAATCAAGAAACAGCTCCCCAAGAACTACAGAGATACTCACAGGAACATCTCAGCAAGCAAGAGTCCAAAAGTGGCAGGCTAAAACCTGGAACTGGGACCAGATGAAAAACTCCCCCCTGAGCACACAGAAGTCTGGGCCACTTGGAAGGCGCTGAACAGACTGCGCTCTGGGACCACGAGATGCAGAGCCAATAGTAAAAAATAGGGCTATTAAGTGGAGTCCATGACATGCAAGTGTGGTGAAGAGAAAACCACAGACCACCGACTACAATACAACCTGAGTGCAACCACATGCACAATGGAGGATCTTCTCACAGAGACACCAGAGGCACTCCAAGTGGCCAGCTTCTGGTCAAAGGAAAGTTAATATAATGCCAAGTTTTTAACTATGTTTGTGGTTTTTTTGGTACATTATAACTATATTCTCAATTAATATTCAGATAGGAAAATGTAATATTTGGAATGAAAGATTTCTAGACTATATCACACCTCCTGATTCGATTTTTGGGCACCTTATCATAACGGATTGGCTTTCGTCTACATGGCAGCACTTACCGATCTCACATCAACCACCCACAATACATGCCAGGCAGGACTTTGTACGTAAATATGCAGGAAACATAGAGGAGAGGAATTCGATGGGTGAAGATGGTACCATTTGTCCTTAACATCACACTTGCTGGAAGATTTATGAAACACAAGCAAACCCTACAGCTAACAGGTGAAGGTGTGTGTCAGGCATCTGAGGGCATCAGATCTTCACAGCATTCTCTGTCTTCGTCATCGTCCTTCCAGCTCTTCATCTTTCTCCCCTCTCGGCTTTTCACGTTCTCGGACTTCCTTCGGCTGCCTTGTGAGCCGCTTCCTTTAAAGTTGCACGGCTGTGATGTAATCGTGAGCATTGTGACACGAAAGGCTTGTCGTTCATCTGTGTCCAGTCCATGCCCTTCTCCTCCTTCTCTCTTGAGAAGAGAAGTCAAACTGGAATCGGAAATGAAAGGGAGAGGGGTAGGCTTTGTCAGGTTCGATATTCTGGAAGTGTGCACTTGACACTAGACCTTAGGGGAAATCACTTTCTTGAACGCCAAGGCATTCTCAACCACTGCTCCTCCTTGAGGGTTTCTGCAAATTGTAGTAGGGGGAAAGTATCCTCCCCAAGTTGTGCCCAAAACATGTGCCCCACAAACAGGCACCTCGACATGCAACCTGATCACACTACACTCTTATTCCACTTTGATTCCACTTTAGCTGTTATGGCAGTATTTTGTGAAATCCTGGAGTTTGCAGTTTGCAAGAACTGTTTGGCTAAATTTTTGAATGTCCTTCCCTAAACTGTAAATCTCAAGGTTCTGTATGGTGTTGCCATGGCCGTTAAGGTGGAATACAAATAAATACAACACCGCCTGAGCTCTGCGAGTGCAGATTTTTTCCAAATGAATCAGAGAGTGTTCAAGGACTGGGACATCCATAGGGAGACCAAGGTGCTTGTTTATAAAGCTACTGTCCTCCCAATCCCACTATATGCCTGCGAGACGACTGTCTACAGACGTCACATGCAACTCCTGGAACAATTCCATCCGTGCTGCCTCCGGAAAATCCTGCAAATCTCTTGGAAAGACAAACAGACAAACGTCAGCATGCTGGAAGAAGGAAAGACCACCAGCACTGAAGCGATGGTCCTCCACCA